TATTTCAACACAAATAAACTTGCTATTGGCTGCCAAAGGACAGTGTTTGTCTGTTGGTACCCCTCAGTTGAAACTGTTCAACCTGTGGAAGCACCTTCTGGGTCTCCCCAAAAGGCTTGTCATTAGTAGCAGGCGACTAGCTGTTCAGAATGAGAGGTGTGTGGGTGATTGGTGGGAAACATAAAAGGACATGTGAGGAGGAGGGTTTATTTTTGTCGGAAAATATGCATTTGGAGGAAAGCGCACTGCCTTTATTTCTGCAGTCATTGTTATGAGAACACAATGGGTGAAATGCAGCAAAATGTGGAAGTTGTATCTACCCTTATTGCTGAGATAAATGCATTTGTGAGTTTTACAAACAACCGTTCATTAGAAGCCTATAGAGAATCTGAGCATCATTATTAAAGTGAAGTGTATCCATTTTTATTTCCTCAAGGGAAAAGATGGGTTCTTTGGTTAGAAGCTCTCAAGCAGAAGAGAATGCCCTGCCATTTGGGGCATATCCTATTTCAAAATAAGGAACTATGGTAAGATGGAGATGTGCACGAATAAACCCAGGTCAATGACACACGTTTGTAGGTGTCCTGTTGCCTCTTACAACTGTTTACTTGTACTTGGTCCCGTTCCTAACCCTCCCCTACACACCGTTACGAACTTGAGAAATGACTATGCCCTAAGAAAGTCTCCTTGACCAGATATGTTGAAATGGTTATTTGACAAGGAAGTGACAATTGTTTGTCCTATAAAGGCTAAAGTGAAGATAGCAATGTGAAGAAAACTTTTAAGTAAGGGCAGATAGGAAGCTCACCTCAGCAATAACATTAATAGTCTGACAGAAAAATAAGCTACATACGTCAGAGACCATGTGTCCAAGTGAAAATGATGACTCACTGGGCCAGGGGAGATATGAGGAAAGAGGAAGTGAAAAATTCTCCTCCTCCATCCTTGTCCCAGTCTCCTAAAACTTCCTACAGAGCTAAAGGGAATTTTGTATGTGTGGGTTGTTTTTTTTGGGGGGGTGGGGGGAGGAGGCGGGGAGAGGTTGTACCAATTTATCTTCACCAAAAAGTCTTTTTCCCTTTTATTTTGGTGGAGTCTGAATTTATTCGATTGTTGCACAGAACTTTCCATGCCTCTAGAAGCTTAATAAGCAGGAAAGGGCAATGGAGAGATCACATTTATAAGAGAATAGCGCTGAGAAGACTGAGATACCCAGATGTAGGACAGTAAGGAACACCAATTTCTCTGCATCAAAGGATTGTTGGGGCAGGAGTTTTTGGAGTCTGGGGCTGTTTTATTTGCAAGATTCTAGTCATCAAGCATCAAAACTGCTTTTTCAGCTTTCATAGCAATGCTGTGGCTCTTTGGGGGGAAAAAAAGGCAAGTTCATGAGTTCTTTAGCCATCAGATTCCCACATGCTTTTACGACATGTAGAAAATAATAAACACAGTTAACTTTTGGAGAGATTCATTTAGGAAATCACTTTTAATACATATTGTGGGGAAATCAGTCAAGTTACTCTGTGGAAGATTGCTGATACATACCTGGTATCTATTCACTATTTTTCCTCAGAACTTTCCAGTTTTAGTGGACCACAAAGCTCTATTTCCCAAGTGCTATATTCCTAGGTTTTTGTAGCTAGCTATGCATGTGAGTAAGTTTTGTCCCTAAGATGTAAGCAGATATACTGTATGGTAGCATTAAATGGCATATACATTGTTATTTCCTTCACCTTTCTCTTAATTGCAGGTGGAAAGTTGCCTTCAGACCAAAGGGGACAAACATATCAAGAACAGTGAATGGATAGGCAGCATCTGGGTTTCCTATGCATGTATCTGGTCACCTCTAGACTGCCTACAAATATTCTTATTTAAGCTGAGCTAAATGTGTCCTTGAATTTCTTTCCTGGAACATCAAAGTCTGACCTTACTTGAAAATAGGACCTTGAAGATCTAATCAGTTAAGGTTGTAAGATAGGCCTAAATGAGTATGACTGGTGTCCTTACAGAAAGAAACACAAAAGTAGAATGCCATATGATAACAATTTGAGTGATGTACCTAAAAACTAAATAATGCCTGGAATGGCTGGCTACCACCAGCAGTTAGCAAGGAGCAAGGAGTATTCTCTGCTAGAGCATTCAGCAAGCACAGCCCTGGACACCATGACTTTGGACTTATAGACCCAGGTGCTACCATATCTGAAAAGTTCCTAGCACCTAACGATATATTGTCTATCAGCAGACCCTATAACTGTCCTTGTTTAATTAAGAGTTGTATGAACCCAAGACAATCTAGAACAATTCTCCAACCTTTCCGTCTCAACTTAAAAAACGTTTTAAGGCACTTAAAAAAAAATTAAATGTTTTGTGTCTGAAAACCAAACCAAAGGATACTTAGTATTATTTCAAGAATAGGATCTATGTGTTGCCTTTCATTTAGCAAGTATGTGTCACCACTGAGTATTAAAGAGGAATAGACTGAGAATTGCTAATTTTCCCATATTAATACATGCATTACATGTTATTTAAAAATTGTTCAAAAGATCTAAAAATCTTTAATATATCCTGCCATGAAAATAAAACCACACACAGCTTTCTAAGATACACCTAGACTCTTGATAGTGCTGTGACTTCAATCCCTGCACTACCAGAGAGGCCTCCCATTTGCAACTCTGGATACCAATTTACCACTTCCTTGCGTTGCAAATGAGAACACTCACTCTGGCTTATTTAAGCAGAAAACCAAACAGTAAGAACTAGATAGCAGAGAGATGTTTCAGAGAGGCCCCAGCCATGAGTGGGATTTCAGAGAGAACTCACGAACCAAACTTGCCAGACACCACACACAGCTCTAGCCCACGCTCAGCACTGCGTTTACCCTGGCAAGGACAAGCAGGGGTAGTGTCCTCACAACTCTGCTCCAGACGCCCTCCATGGCAGCTGTCTGGCAGTCCAGCACTCCGCCCTTGCCTTGGCTTCTACTCTACTGTAGGGAGGGGATGGAATGTGGGAAACTCCCCCCCAACCAGGAAGAGCTTTCAAAGTCTAGTACAGTGAAACTTTATAGTTATAAGTTCATTTTTAATTTATGTTGTTACATGATGTTAATATGGTCAACAATAAAAATTCAGATTTCTTAAATACTATCATGTAGGTGGTTTAGAAATTATTTCAATATCAGAAATTAAGTATAAATAGTGCAGTAATGATTAATGCAATCATGGGTTATTAAGAAGGAACTAGGGGCTCTCCCTGGTGGCGCAGCGGGTTGGAGCACAGCACTGAGAATCTAAAGCCGCTTCAATTCCCGCCTGCCCCGGAAGTGACTACATGGCGTGGCAGACCTCTCCTGGCCCGCCCGCTGCTCCCCTCAGCAGTGTACTTCGTTGATCTGCCTGTTCTGTTCCCCACTCTGTCTCTGGTGAAGCCTCTTACCGCCCCTGAGCCTCTGGCCTGTACCCCAGTTCTGTATGCACAAATAAATAAATCTTTAAAAAAAAAAAAAAAAAGAAGGAACTAGGGATAAGATATTCACTAAGTTGTGCCCACACTAATAAAAACTCAAAGTTGTACTTGTCATTTGCATTTTTCTCACTGCAGCTCAAGAAAATGTCTAGAAAAGCCATCTAAATGTAAACAAAAAATGAGGTTATCATAAAGCATAACAATGATGCAAGCACTATGGGCAGTTTGAAACTTAACCTTGAAGTATATTAACATGTATACAAGTTAAACTGTCAAAATAATACTCAGTATCAGCAAATTGAGATACTCAGAGTATAATATCCACAAACATCTTCAGCAGCTTAGTCATCTGACAGAGCCGCTCAAGTTTCAGGGATGCTGTTGTTTTTTATGTGCAAAATGTGTTTTTTTTATGCAAAATGTTTACTCATGCAACTTTTTTTGCCTTATATTTTGTACAACTCAAATGTCTTTTCATAGAAAACTGTACTTTTTTCACAGAAACAGAGGCAATTAAATTTTACTCAGTAAAATAATACCACAAAAGAGAAAATGTTATTCTTTTATTTATGTTAAATAAAAACATGAGAAAATCCTTTTTTAAAAAGGGTCAGAATATTCCTTATGTCTCCAAACCAAGTCCATGGACGCAAAGAAATGTTCAGTGCTTTCTTCCAAAGGGTGACGACACACTTTCATGTTTTAATGACCTAAAGAGACAACTTCGGTGCATGTCCTTCAGTTGCCACTTCAGGAAAGTCACATGCAATATTCTGGCAAGCAAAGAACAGAACACAGGCACAAGTATATTCTGGAAATACTTCCTGTTCTGATAATGAAACTCAGTATATTGTTTTTTGTGGTCCTTCTAAAAATTTTTAAGCCACAAATACCACTGTACTTCAGTGGGACAATTTTCCACAATTCCAGAATTATTAGACATTTAAAATGATTTATGAGAACTAACACTATTGCAAATTTTGCTAGTAGAAATGAGACTCCCAAGGAATCATCATTTTCAAAATGTAACTGGGCACACATTTACAACATACTGCAAAGCTTTGAATTAACTTGTCATTTCTGATCTAAAGACTATGCTTGAATCTCAGAAAACAAATGCTAGATTCATGATTTCTATACCTACATACCCTTAAAACCATCATAAGCCCTATAGTCTGCATTTTACCAAAAATGCTTCATTCAAACAGGTCATGGTAGGTTCATAATTCTTCAACCTTAATTTAGGTCGTAAAGAGTTTTTTCTATGACTGGTATCAATAATAATTTCTCTGTTAGAGAAAGCAGACATTTTTGGCAGACTGCCAAAGTGATACTTTATTTTTAGAATTTAGGAAGCTACAGTTAAGTAACTTGTAGGCTTTATTAAAAGGAATAAAAAAAAAAAAAAGCAAAGGATAACTTAATACAACTGAAGTTCTAAAATTTTCTAGTGCAAGAAATGCTGTTTCACTGAATTATGAATTCCAAGCAAAAATGCAATCAACTCAAGAGTGATGATAAAAAAGAGAAACAACCAGAGAGGCACACAATTTTTTTTTTAAAGGATTTTTATACTATATTAAAAAACCACAAAATAAAAAAGGGATCAATCAACATATATCTTAGAAGTCTTTCCAAGAATCTCTGTACCCAACAGCCACGCTTTTTCTTCTTTGCTCAGCTTGCAGTTCATTTAAGGATCACGGGAGGTGACTTGTGTTCTGGGTCTTAAAATCAAACTTGTTCTGCCAAATCCAAGACCCTGAATTTATCCAAATTGTAGAAACATGCTTTTACCACCCGTCCACCAAAATACCTTCCATTCAGATCAACAACAGCTAAAAGGCAAACAAAAAGATAGTAAATATAGTTATTCTGTTTTAATTATAATACTTAAGGACCACAAATTCAACTTTTTTTCCTCTATATTTAGCTGTTATGACTTACCTTTAATTGCTGATTCAACCCTCTCAAATTCTAAAAATATTCGTACTGCTTCATCATCAGGGGCACCAGGAATCTGGAAAAAAATGAAAGAATAGGGAAAGTTATCATCTGCGATAGCAATGAATGAGTTTATCAAAGCAAGCATTCCATTTACCATCATACACAAGTAGTCAAATACCCAAGAAATAAGTATAATTCATTTGCCACCACAAATTTGTCAGAGGTCTGTTTTTGACAGCACTGTGTTAGGGACCAGGAATACACAACCAAGCAAGGCAGTCCTTCAGCAGCCCTTTGTGACTGACATGTAAACAAATAATCATGCAGAATTATGTGGTTACCATACAGCAACATGATATACAGAAGAAAAGCCAAAGTGCAAGTAGTTTAAGATAAACCTTGTATTTGGTCTCTCATATTATACGGCCCCATTCAATGTGGATAAGCATGTCTGCAGCTTATTCCCAACACTGCCAACCAATCACTGTGCAGCCTTCCTCGGTCTCCCAGAAGCTGTGACCTAATCTGAATACCTTCTTAATCCTATTCAAATCCTATCCACTCATTTCAAAGCTCAGGTCACACTTGCTACTGCTCACCCAGTTTTCACTTTTTCTTTTGTTGATCTAAGCCTTTCTCAAACCCAGTACTTTAAGTCAATACTGTTCAGTCTAGTAACTGAATATCCTCTGTTTTTTACTGTTAAGCTTTTTTTTTTGTTCTCTTCACTAAAACAGAGACATTTCCTGTATCCCAACTGCTATTTATGTATGTTGAGTATGTGGGAAGCATTAAATACACACTTGCCAAATAAATGAAACCAAAGGCTTCTGAAAAACTAAATTATTGAGAACTCTAAATTATTGAGCACTAAATTAAACCTCAATCATAAAATGGAATATATTTGTTTAACCAAATACATCTACATATTTAAAATAGCTTTGAATGAGTGACAGAAATACAACTACTCAACATGTGTCATCTTCTGCAATAGGGCAATATGTAACTTACAGCATGCCCTGTCTCTGTAGAAAACGTATGTAATCTGTTAATTACAACTTGGGTTTATAAACATTAAAAGAAAACCTCTTACTTCAAATATCACACATTTTCCAACTTTGCCATATTTTTCACATTCTTCCTTGGTTTCAACTTCCAAATCTTCATCTACTTCTCCTGCACCAACCATGTTCTAAAAACAAAAATAAATAAATTCAAGTATCAAGTACAAATACTGAAATTACTTTACTTCACAATAGCAAATGTTCTTAATCATATGTGACACAATGAAAATCTTCATATCCCCACAGTAGCTAAAAGTTGGTATTGTTTCAAAAAACAGGAAAAAACAGATACTCAGTTTTGTATATATAAGAGGATCAAGCATTAAAGCATGTAAGTTAAGCTACATTTATGGTAATTTCAAATATTTTATAGTAATTACTCACAGTAGTCTTCAGTACTACATTCAATAGTAAAATTTTAATCACAAAGACCTTCAACAGTAAAAACAATACTGGGAGGAGGGCAGAGAAATGGAGGTAGCAAACTCAAGACAAAGCTACAGCAACCAAAACAGTATGGTATTGTAATAAAAATAGACACACCAATCAACAGAACAGAGAGCTCAGAAAAAAACTTAAATGCATATGAACAACTCATGACAAAAAGCCAAGCACATACAGAGAATAAAAGTCTATTTAATAAATGGTGCTGAGAAAACTGGGCAACTACATGCAAAAGGACAGGAGATACTACTTCATACCATATGCAAAAATTAATTCAAAATGGATTAAAGATTTGAATATAAAACTTGAAATCACAAAATATCTGGAAGGAAATAGGTGCTATATAAGCTTTTTTACATTAGCCTGCACAACATCTTTGTGGACTTCTCTACAATGCACACCAATCAAAAACAAAAGGAACAACACAAAACTAAAAAATTTCCACACAAAATGAAGGAAATCTTTGTTAAAAAATAAAAAGACAACCATGTGAATGGGAGGCTTTTGCAAATCATGTATCAGACACAAGGGTTTGTTAAAAGTCAAAGTATATGAATTCATACAACTGAACAACAAAACAAGCTGCTTCAAAAATGGGCAGAGGATCTTAATAGATATTTCATCAAAGACAATTGTGACAAAACACTAAGAAAAGATGTTTTTTGCTTATCATTAGGAAAAAGCAAAAACCAAAGCCACATGAACTATCATCTCGTACCTGTTACAAAGATTATTTAAAAAGTAAGAAAGCAACAAGTGTTGGGAAGGATGGGGAGAAAAGAGAACCATTAATACACTGCTGGTGGGAACATAAATTGGCACAGTCACTATGGAAATCAGTATGGAGGTTCCTCAAGAAAACTGGAAACTACATGATCCAGCAACTCCTAGTGTTTATCCAAAGAATACAAAGATCACTAACGTGAAAGGATATAACTCTATGTTACTCACAACTGCACAGAAATAATCTAAAAGCCCATGGACAGAAGAATGGATAAAGATGCAGCATGTATAAAAAGCTGTATAACTCAACTATAAAAACAATGAAGTCACCCTATTTGCAGTAACAAAGATGGAACTTGAAGAGATTAAAATAAGACAGAGAAAGACAAATTCTACATGGTTTCATTCGTATGTGGAAGATAAAGAATCTAAGCAAACAACATAAGGAAGGTAATTAGATTTTGACGACAGAACGGTGGCAACTAGAGGGCAAAAAGGGTGGAAGTAGGCTGAACCAATAGAAGGATTCAGTTAATGGTGGTGAATGAAAACTGAACCTCTGGTGACAGATATGGAGTGGTATATACAGATGGCAGAGTGAGAAGCTGAACACCTGAAATATATACACTGTTGTAAATCAATGTCACCTGAAAAAAAAAATCAAATCGGGAAACAGGTTTCTTCCTTTTGTTTCTTACCCTTAGTAGGACCACTTTAGTAGGACACTTAAGTATTTCAGTTAATGGATTTGAATCTGACTTCTTGGATGCATCTGCAGGAAAATGTATCATCAGATTTAGATGCCTCAGAGCACTGAAAAGAAGTGTGAATCTAAGCTACAATAATTTCAGTAACAATCCCTATTATAGCTGATTCTTGAATCACATGCACTGAAACTGAATGAAACCACTTAAATGAGGATATTTTTAACAAGAGTCAAATTTTTTTTTTTGAGATTTAGCATGATTTTAAAAAACTCAAACTGCATGGACTAGAAATACTGAAAAACTTAGATAATCACAAATGCATAAGATATGTAGATACTCATCTCTTCTACTGTTTACTAACATTAAAAATTAACACAAATCTAATGACTACAATACCATACAAGCCACAGAAATTTCAGTATATAGGCTACATTACTGTGAAGCCATCTCAACAATTAACAGGAGGCTACCATAAAGCAATCATATTACTACTTCATTATCAATGCATAAATGGTTAAACTTCTTAATAAATACAAATTCCCTTTTTACATTATCTTTTCATTTTTGATATCCAGTGTTGGTAACAGATATACAAACCACTACCTATAGTGGTTTGTGTCATATGACAATATTTATGAAGGCACTGACAGATGATTCATCTCGAAAATAAAATGTAAACTTACAGTATAGATAAAATACAGTAAAATACTGTAAATACATTCTCTTCCTTATTGTTTCATTATTCTGTGTAACCCTTACGATTGTTTTAAGTAAATCTTTATTTATTGCAAGCTACAGCATATAAAACATGTAGCATATAAAATATGTTAATCACATGTTTATGTTGTTGGTAAGGCTTCCAGTTAATGGCAGGTTATTTATAGTAAAGTTTTTCACAAAGTTATACATGGATTTTCAGACTGCAAAGGGGTTGGTGCCCCTCCAAGTTGTTCAATAATTTACAACCTGGTGTCACCTTTAGCATCTAGTCAATTACTCTATGAGAAAACTGCAGCCTTATCTGTGATGAAAGCATCTGATTTGCTGTGATATAGTTTTTACCAGCAACTTCTGGAAGGTTTTGCTTCCATGATTACTTGCAAAATTTACTTAGTTCCCTTGCTAAAGGGCTTACAGAGTATAATGATCACAACTGGTAGAGGTGAGTGCCTTGGCTTGAGCAGTGGCCAAGTTCACTACCCAGTAGTAAGCAGTTAATTAGACTGCCATTGATTAACTTCAGCTATTCCAACAAACAGGGCAATTACTTGTTTTTGCTACTAGCCTGTCAGGCCAGCTGCTTTCTAAAGCTGTACATTGACACAGCTGCCAGAAAAGTTTGTTGTTTCTTTGGAAAAAGGAGTAAAGCCAAAGGTGACTCAAAATGGACTAGTCTCCTCATAAAATGCTAAGATACATTTGATTCATTTCAACATGCTCTCACCACAGAACAGGGATTATAATAACCAAATAAGCACAAAACACCAACTATGCATCTTAGAAAATAAATTACAAATTAGTATTACATTTCACAAAGCAATCAATAAATAAGAAAATTAAAAAATACAATGATACCTGGAAACCCTGGTCGTGGGGGAGACCCACCTTTCTCAGTGGCGTCGCCCACAATAATCTTGCCTCCTCTCTTGCTTGTCTTTTCTACTGACAATGCTGTGCTCAGCCCTTGCTCATGCTTCCCAAGACCCTGGCCTTCCCGGAAGCCGTATTTCTGCATGATTTTATGCGCAACTGTGCCACTGGGAAGAGTAAAGAGAGAAAGATACCTTTGTACTTGAAGTTATCAGCAAGAGCATCAACTGAGTTTTGCACCCCAACACTCTCCTACTGGAAAGGAGTGTAAATTCCGCAAGGACTCCATGAAGTCAGATATAATTAACAGTCTAATTGGACAGAAGTAATTAGAATGAAAGAAATAGAAAAATCTAAAGAAATCCTGGATATACTAAGGCTACCTCTGAGGTAGAGAAACAACAAAATCTCCCCAGTATCCCTGTTGGAAAACAATAGACCTCTGTGTTCCAGTGTCTGCAATGCTATACTGCTTACAACCACATTTTAAAGTGTTTGTTCCCCCCCCCAAAAAAAGTTTCATATAATGAAAATGATTGCATTCCCCTAGTTTCCAAAGATTTTATAAATGAATGAACTGCTAAAGGTCATCTATTTAACAGGTTAAGAAACTGAGGCCCAGATTAGCTGGTTAGCGTAAGAAGGACAAGGAACAAAATACAACAGTGTATTTTGAAATTATTTCTGTATGTGATAATGGTGGAAATGAAACTAGAACCTGTAACTCTTGATTCTTAGTCCAACATTCTTTCTTTAATACCATGATGATTTTCAAAGTGGAGAATGCTCACAGGTTTCGAGAGTGCCTCCCAGTGACCACTGTTACATAAGGCTCACACAACAAAACTTTAAATTTTTGCTTAAATGGAGATTTAGCAAAATATTAATTTTTATCATTACTAAGAACAAAAAAAGCTTCTATCTGTCCACCCTCTAGCAATCCTCTTGGGCAGATGATAGAAATGTGATGACTGAAATGTTCTTTCTGCATTGCCTATTATGGTAGCTGCCAACCTTTGTAATTATTAAGTATCTGAGATTAGCATGACTGAGAAACTACACGTATTCATTTAAAATTAATTTAATAACCACCATGGCTAGTAGTGCAGTGCAGGTCTAACAGACTGATACCAAGGTCAGAAACTCAAAATTCCCTTATACTATATAAATCCCAGCACCTATCCCAGGGCTCTAAGACCAATGCATATGCACACATGTAAGGGCAGATCGGTGTGATTATTATACTCTTGGCATTTCTTTTAAAGGACACACCATAATAAATATCTTAGAAAAATGCTGTTGCTTTTCATAGCCCCTTGTAGCATCAGAGGGATACAGTAAACATGAAGTATTCTCTTAATCAAAATGAAAGCCAGATCCAATTTGGGTTAAAAAAAAATTCACTAGACTTACCTGCCAGTTAACCTTAAAACTGATTTTTATATGCCAGCAAACCAATTCCTAATTAGGGTCATGATGATTAGTTTTCAGGCTAAATGTAAAGAACCATGACCTTAAGGCAAATGACTTTTATCTAGAAGGAAAAAGTGCCAACGTGGGCCCCTTCTGGAGGCACAACTGGTTAAAGCTCAGCACTACTGAAGCTACCTGCAGCCATTGCAGCGGAGTTCTATTCCCAGCCAGGGAGGTGACCAAAGTTGTGAGGCAGACCTCTCCTGACCTACCTGCTGCTCCCTACAACAGTGTGTTTCAGTACATCTGCCCATTCTGCTCCCCACTCTGTCTCTGGTAAATCCTCTTAACCCCTCACCTATGGCCTGTACCCCCAGTTCTACATATATATATATATATATATATACATATCTTAAAATAATGAAAAGGAAATCCCACTGTTTAAAATGTTTAAAAAAAAAAGTGCCATACACCCTTTGGAAGCAGCTCAAGTCAGCTCTAATTCACATGAACTACTGTAGTTGTAAATATAATGAAAATATAACTGTTAAAGAATATAGTATTAATCACCTAAATCTTTTAAAATTTTAGCAGTGGGTTTTATATGTTTTGTACAAAACATCAATCTTGAGCACCCTCCTCATAATTGGACCTCATCAACACCTCAAGGACTTCATGTGACTGAATACATCAGTATCTCCCTAGAAATCTGGGAATACTCTCATTTTCAAACAAGCTGCATCCACTGAAAGGGCTGGAAAATCTTCATCTTTCTCACGCTTGCTTGCACTAGGAACCCTTACCCCATGTTGGCAAGGAAGGAGTTGCCTGGCCCAGTAGGAGATCTGGGTCTGTCTGGTTCCTCATATACAGGGGGAGGGATAGCAGCTTTGGAAGACTGTGAGCGAGGTCTTGAATCCTCTTCATAAGGAAAATCTCGGGGTACTGGTGAATAAAACAAAACAGGTTTAACCAAATTACCACAAAAAAAAAAAACATTCTGAACTGTATTTATACAAATCAGTTACCTTGAATAATTTAAGTAACATTTTTGATTTACCATACAGAGAAAAACAAAATCTTTACAACCTTTATTTAGATGACTTTAAAAATAACTCAAAATACTAATTCTAATTCTAGCTTTCCTCCTGATATTTATACCTCCTCACATTCCTTCCTTATATCTTACTGAAATAGTCCCTTGATAGTTTTAAATGACAAAGATTTTCCTGAATTTCTAAATTTTTTCTATATATTCCAATCAAACTCTCTTTTGATCCCCTTACATCTGTGTATCTGACATAAGACTCTTAAGTTTACGGTCTCCTGCAGGTCCTTGAAGTTAAGGACCATCTTCAGAGCAGTTGATTTCTGACTACAGCTCATATTAAGGTCAATGAGGATTCTTCATGAAGATCCAGATGCTTGGGTCCAATGCCAACAAACTGGTTTCAGCTGGAATTTATGATTTATTCAGGTACTTATGTTTTTTGAGCTACCTTCTTTGGGTCCTCCCTGATGGTACAACATGTTAAATAAGGCACCGCACTTTGAGGCTGTCTGCAGACACTGCAACAATGAGTTGGATCGCCCGCCAGGGAGGTGACTGACCTACATAGATCAGCAGACCTCTTCTGACCCGCCCACTGCTCCCCTCAGCAGTGCATTTCAGTCGATCTGCCTGTTCTGCTCTCCACTCTGTCTCTGGTGCATCCTCTCAACCTCCCACAACTATGGCCTGTCCCCCAGTCCCTGATGCATAAATAAATCTTTTTTAAAAATTCAGACATTAAAAAAAAAATTACCTTCTTTGAAACAGTACTAAAAGTACTACAGAGGATTATTCTTTGGATAGTTTAGTTATGGTTCAACTCAGAGGAGGGGAAAATGCACTAGGTAGTATTCAAAGTCTAGTTCCAACCCCAAAATTCTATAATACTGGGAAAAGAAATTATGGGAGGCCATGCTTTGGCAATGTAAGTAAGTGTAGAAAGTATGTGTGATAAGACCCAAATGCCAAAAAATTTAAATCAAGGCAGGTACTGCCACCTGCTGGAAGGTCATGAATTGAACCGCATTTATACCATGAAATACAAAATTATTAATTAAGCCATTATTTGAAGTCTAACTTCAAATACAAAATGTTGAAGAGATCAAAAGTTACTTTTAAAAAATTAATTACACAGAGTCTGGCATAAAAACTTCTCAAAGTATAAAGGATAGTGACAGTCCTGAGTACCCACAAGTTCCCTTAGGTCAGAGCCTGGAAAGGGCTTTTTCAGGCCATTTCCCTTTATACCCAGGAACCTACCTGTTTCAAGCTAATATGCCCCACAACTGTGTTAAAGATTGTACCAGAATAAAAAAGGGAAGAAGCAGGACTACGTACATTCTTTGTCTTTCTCTACAAGAGAAGTAGGAGGTGCGATGGCAGCTCCGCCCATACCTGTAAAAACATAAATCCCACTGATTAAAGGAGAGAAACGTTTCAGACCTAGACACCCAAGGACTGTGCCATCTGTTGCATCATACCTACCTCCTACCCCAAGAAAGTAAGGAAAAGTAAAAAGGCTGCTACTTCTTTCAGCTAGCATCTAAGGAATTCTAAAATTATAAATGTAAAAAACTGGCAAATCTCAGTCAAAATATTTTTCATAGCAGGCATTCAAGAGTCCCAGAGGGTATTAATAAATGAATTTTAAGACAAAAGGTGGCAACTCAGTTCCTCAAAAAACAGTAATATAACTGTTTATTGAGAACATGTAACGTACCAGGCACTATCATATACATTATCTCATTTAGGCTTAAAAAACCATTTTTCAGGTGATAAAATGATCAAAGGAGAATCAACTGGAAGAGATGAATAAACTTCAGCTACTTGTGATGGCAAAGCTTCCACTCGCAAGACATTACTCCTTCCTAGGGTGAAACCACTAGACTTAAAACACCTATTTGGGGGCCCTCCCTGGTGGCGCAGCGGTTTAAAGCACTACACTGAGAAACTAAAGCCACTTCCGCATGAGTTCGATCCCCGCCTGCCCCGGAGGCGACCACATGGCGTGGCAGACCTCTCCTGACCCGCCCGCTGCTCCCCTCAGCAGTGTACTTCGTCGATCTGCCTGTTCTGCTCCCTGCTCTGTCTCTGGTGAATCCTCTCACCCTCCGCATCTCTGGCCTGTACCCCAGTTCTGTATGAATAAATAAATAAAATCTTTAAAAAAAAAAACAAAAACAAAACACCTATTTGGTATTTGTAGCTCCTGAAGAATCTATTTTATGCTCATATTTGTTCATATTTCATTTGGTGTATACAAATGAAGCAAAATAGATTATATTTGCTTTCTGACACCAGGAGGGAAAATATGAATGGAGAACATAAGTTTTTCATTAGGTATAAGCCCTAACATATGCATTATAACTTAAGCATCAATGGAACTATCAAAATAATAAAATGTAAATTTAAAGAAACTGATTATAAAACAACACTAGATAGCATAAAGTGTTTCAGATGAAACACCTCTGAAGATGCAGCATTTGCGTAGTTATTAACAGGCTGGACTAGACCCACTTAAAGAGAAATAACCCGAACAAAAACTTCCCATATCTTCTTTTGCTATACCTATTATATTTTAACCTTGCCACTAAGATCTAAGTGATTATTCATTCTGAAAAGTAGATTAGCTTCAATAAGGTCAGTATGAAAAAACCCAAGGTGAATTCTAGAAGTTTACTACTTATCAGGTTAAACAGGAAACACCTGTTAATAGTAATACACATAATGGATATAATGTCACAACTTTTCTATTAGATAACTCCTGCTAACATTCAGAAAAAAAATAAATGTTCTTAGAATAGACCTTTTTTTACAATAAGGGTCAATCTATAAGCTGGAAAGATGAGACCAACAAATAGTCAATCATTATACTGGATTCTGAAAGAAATTAATAACAACTAAATATTTGTTGAATAACAAGATGAACGGTATAAAATGTTCAACATTAAGCCTGACACACAGAGTGTACTTGATAAATGTTAATTCTACTATTAACTGGAAAAAATGCAGTGCTCGACAGTGCTCAATATATACTAGGTATCAAAATTACTTTTATTCACACTTGCATTCAAACATTAAGAATTCTAAATAACTGTAGATTTGCTTGCTCCTTTCCAACTCAATTAGGATTTTAAAACTGATTAAACATCAGTCAGCCTTGGCTGACACTTGGGGAAGACCAGGCTTGCCAAATGGCCAGTCACAGTTACATTATAGTCATGTAAGTAGAAATATACTCCAGCATTTTAACACTATTCATATGTCTCAGGTTGGAGATCATTACATTATTAGGAAATTTTCAGGCAAATCAAGATCTGGGAGAAGAGGAACACAATGTACATTCACATGCCACCTAACATTATAGATGGGACTACAAACACGACAGTGGTCTCTACAGACATAGGCAAGGTCATACCACCTACGTCTGTATAAGCATGCTCTATGGCATTGTTGTAACAATAAAATGGTCAAAGGACCCAATTCTCAGAACGTATTCCTGTCATGCAACACTGTGGTTATATACAAAGCTTGTATTGCCTCTGTGTCTTAGATTTCTCACTCTGAAAATGGGGATAATCACAGATCTTCTCAAATTATTGTGAGGTGTAAAGGAGATCATCAATGAAAGTGCTTAGCACAGTGTCTGGATTTAATAGACAAGTAGAGGATTTAAATTTCTCTTTCAAAATCTCAATCTGTCAACCGAATCAGTCAATCAAATCAAGGAAGCGTCAACAATCAAAGCACAAAGCTAAAATAAGCAGCATTCCATTCACTCAGGAATAAATACTGCTATGTAGTGATTGCTACATTGTAATTCTGCTCACATTTTAAAGCTTTATGAAGTACCTATTTCAAATTATTGTCTCCCCATTCTCCTATGACAATGAAAAGAAACCAGTATTTCAGGAAGTTATATGATTTCCTAAGATTCAGACATGTTAGTAACAAGTATTTTGGAAAAGTGTGCCTTGACTCTAATTCAATGCATAATAGATATGCATCTGGATACAGAGAATACGTGACTGAGCTGAGAGCGTAGAAAAGCAGGTATATGTATTTTAAGGTATGTTCAAAGAATTCAATAAATAAATGTGAGAAAGGAATTAAGAAGCTTAGAAGACAATACATGTGAAAACACAATGTAAATTAAAACAGTCAGGCACTTATGAAATCCTGGCATTCCAGAAGAAAAAATTATCCAAATCAGTATCAATTGAATTATTTATAAAATTAAATATAAATTACAAATAGTACAATTGCATCATATTTGAACATAAGGTTTCTATTCACGCCTTACTTCTTTTTCTCCTTTCTCGTTCATAATCTTCATCTTCATCAGAATCTGGATCTGGTCGCCTTGAAAACCCGCTAGCTTCATGTCTGTCTTTACGCCTCCTGAAATAACAGAAAATTAACTATTCACGACAAACCAATTTAGAGTTATGACACCAAGGATATCACCTTGGCTTTCTCTTGGCTAAGAAATACCTAACTTGTTTGCCTTTATATTAAGCTGATTGTTTGGGGGGAGAGGATTACAAAAAACAGTTAAAACTCTAAAATAACAAAGTATGAGAAAAATCCAAAAAGTATAGTAAGCAAATGTAATAGGTACACAAGTGTAAGAGCAAGGAAAGGTTCTTCTAATTTTTTATCTTTTACAACTTTAAAACCTATCTAAGTAATAGCAGCAAAGTAATTTGCTTCTTTAGAACATGCCTCAACTTCATGAAATGATTCAATAAGTGAAACAGTAAATTATTTTCTAACTATTACTAAATACTTAACATATTCAAATAAAAGCTTGTTTGCTATCTTTGTAAATTCATCTAGCTCAAGACAGTAACGAATAACATTTTAAGTATTTAAATAATTAAAATTCTAACACAAACATAGCATGAGGAGGAAAAAAACTAAACTACCAATATTATTTAATGTTAGGTACCTAAATGACTTTTCTAACACTTGATCCAAAATGTAAACTTCAGGTTTCCTGCAATCACACATGAAATGGTTTGTGTCCATACTGGAAATATAACTATTAAAAAAATAACTTGTATCCTTCTGCTAATTGCTCAGATCAACCATGACAACTAACTTCAGTCTTAAGATAACACTACAGTTGATTAATATTCTAATAAGTGTTTCAAACAACATATTCCCAAATCCAAATGAAGACATACTTTTCTCTCTCTTCTATTTCTTTTTGTCTTTCCAGCTCCCGCTGTCTCTGTCGCTCCTCTCTTTGGCGCTTCACTACTTTCTCATAATCATTAGGAAACATAGGATCATATTCATCAGCTAAGGGAATCAAAACTTCTCCTGCAGAAAATCCACTGGGAACAGGATCCTGTGGAAGGTAAAAAGGCCAAAGTAAATGTTACTCTCATGTTTTAGAATTCTACTCACAGAATTAAGGTCAAAGAATGCAAGGGTTAAAAGGGGTCTTGCAGATAGTAGTCATGTGCCCCCTTCCTGTTTTGTAGATGAGGATACAAATACCCAAAAGGTTTACTTGTTGCACAAGGCTACAAACCTACATAGGCTGGAGCAGTACCATGACAAAGAATTTCACCTCTTAGTTCAACATCACATATTTTCCTGGAATTCCAGCAATACATTTGATTATTTATAGTAAGCATGGACTATATAAAAATTATATAAAAAGAAAACAAAAACAGGTCATGAACAATACAATCATTCTTGCTGTCATTTAAAGGAATATCTTTACATTCTGAATACATGGAGATATACTATATTGAGCCGAAAGGGAAGGGGAAAGAAAAAGAAAAAACCTTTTGGGCTTCTAGAAACCCTCTGGTATACACAGCCCTTCCCAGAAACTACATTTCAGGCTCTTCCAAAGTTGGATGCTAGTACCCTTCTCACTGTCATCAATTTTCACAAACAAGAGATAGCCTTAACAAAGAAATGAGAAAAATAAAAGGCAGACAGAGCACAAACTACTGGAAGATATGAGATTAGAAATGATGATATCAAGTTAAGTTGGCTGTTCATCTATACATGGTGATAAGCCTTGATTCACTGCATGAGCTAACTTTTCTAAACTTCCACAATTTTTTTCTTTTTCTCTTTTCCACTTTGTTTTCTTGGTTGTGAGATAGTAAGTCTCTTCCTGGTTCCTGGCCTTAAGCTCCTGAAATCCTAGGAGCACTAGGAACATCTCCGTTCTAATATTTATCTTTGACACTGTCCCTGCCAGAAGCTTTTCTAAAATTCTTATGATTTCCTAAATGATAAAGAGCACTAAAAATCATCTTTTGTTCTCTTGAGAAGATTCTGGGTAGTTTTCTAGATGGACACTCAGTAGGGGTTGGTCACCAGGAAGACAAAGTAACGAGTAAGGTTTCAGTCCTTACTGTTCCCCACTTTTCTAGAAAAGGGAGAAGGGCTGGAAATAAGCGTTAATACACCAACTTTATGTGAGGGAATCTCCTTAAAAATCCCAAGGGCAAGGGGCTTTGGATTGCTTCCAAGTTAGCAAATACACCCATAAACTCAGAAAGTGACACATCCCAAATCTACAGGGATTGCAGCTCTTACACTGGGACCTATTATGTAAACCACTGTGACCTTACTGTTTATTTGAATACTATTTGCAGAAGCACACACATAATGACAGGTGTAATTTTAACACTAGGTCAAGTTAAATTCATTTGTCTTTCATTATGCATAGTTCTAACTATGATTTTTAGTTATTCTTTTCCAGATCTGCATTTTTTTCTCACTTACTCAGAGCTACCATGTCCCATTTATTTCTTAGTATATGTAAAATCACTGGGACCATAAAAGCTAAAAGTTAAGAGTTTTCGTTTAACTCCTTTCAAATATTAGTCCAACTAAAAACAGTTAAATGCTTACATACTTCATGACAAGTAAAACTGTAAACCACTCATATATCCAGCCTTAAGTGAATTGAAGCATAGCAGAATCATACAAAGCAGTAGTATGAAATCATTAACATGATCAGGGGGCTCTATATTTTGTGACACATTTGGAAAGGCACAATATATTAAGTGAGAAAAGCAGGTTAGTGAAGAGAGGAGAGGAGACACAGAATGGAGAGCTATTATAAAATACAAAGTTTCTAATGTGAAAGATAGAAAAGGACATTTGTTTTTCATTTAGCATAGTTTCAGTTTCTGATTTTTCTGTATGAATGTTTTAAACTGGATAAAACAAAAGTGAAAATTAAATTGAAAATGGTATTGTTTAGATTGTAAGGGCCACTGAAGACAGTATGTATTCAAAGTGACACCCATTTCAAGTAAGAAAGCAGAATAGCTTGCAGAGGATTGGGTGGGGCTCACCTTGAGGCCGGCTGCTACATGTGGCGGGGTGTCCACAATCTGCCGGTCATCTGAAGAACCACCTCTCTTGAGGTCAATTACTGGGGCAAGGACTGTACTTTGTTTTGTCCTCTGGCTCTAAAATCATTAGAAAACAAGAAAGGCATACCAAGGTTTCAGATTAAAATTTATACTATTTGCAACAAAGTTGTCTGCTTTGTGGTTACTGTAACAAAACCTTCAGGTTATGAGAAAATTGTAACTTTGAACAACTTTTGCTCCTATATTTATCATAACTATATACTAGTTTTTTTAGTTTAAAAAAATCTCACAAATTTCCTTCATTTTTAAATAAAAGGTTCAAAATAAGCTTGGTTATTTAAAAAATTTTTTTCATGAGAAATAACTAAGACAAATCTTTCCTTGACCACAGGAGAATAGACTATGGTATGATACTTTGACTTGTGTGTCTCTTTCACAAGGAGTAGGTATGTTTTTATCTCCTGGGCAAAGGATATTTAAGGATTAGGGATTTTTTTCCTTCCATTAGGGTATAAAATTTACCTAACTCCTTTAATTATGACCCTATAGAAAGCAACTTTTAAGAGAGAACAATGATCTCATACCATCAAACACTGTAAATATTTCACTGTGTTGCTTTAACCCTTCACCTGTATTTCTTGAACCATTTTAAAGCTGGAAATTCCACAACCCTTTATTCTTAATATCTTAAAACTTCAGCCATTCTCTAACAGAACCACAATTTAATATTATCACACCTTACAGAAACAGTAATTCCTCTGTATCATTTCTTACCAAATTCATATTCAGATTTTCCAAGCTGTCCCCCAAAATGTCATTTGAAAAGCTGTTTATCGGTTTTTGTTTTATTGGGGGGGGGGGGGAGCGGCGCACAGGAACCTACAGAAGTTCCCACAATGACTTTGGTCTTTAAATCTCTTTATTTAGGAAAAGCCACCCCACCCCCACCACTGTCATCCCTTTTCCCTCTGACACTTTTGATAAAATGCTGCATATTCTTGATCTGATAACTTCCTTGGTGGTCTAGTTTCACTTACTATTCCGTGCCCTGTAATTCCTGTAAGTTAAATTAAAGGCTAGGTTAGATCAGGGTGATGCTTTTTGGCAAAAGCAAGGTGATGTGCTTATTCTGCATTTTCCCAGCAGGCATGTAAGTCAAGCTGTCTATTTAATAATGTTAAACTCAATCACACGGGTGTGGTGGTGACCATTGGATCTTCTGTTGCACAGGCTTAAATTCTCTCTTTTGCAATTTATAGTCTTATAAATTTTCATTGTTACCACTACAAAAAGCTCAAAATTAGCCATCACCTCAATTGAATTTAAGAATTAATAAATTTAACCAAACAAAATATAATCAAATATGCAACTCATACAGCTACTATCAAAGTTTATAAAACAATGGCAAAGGGGAAATTACCAAAATAATATTTCCTATTATTTTTTAAAATTCAGTAGTCATTTTAAAAATAGAGATAAAAATGAGACTAACTCTTTCTTCAGCTGTAGTTAAATTTTTCTCTATCAAATACCTTTACAGATGTGGTTAGGGTCAACTTAGTGCTCTACATAATTAGTTAATTAAACAGCCTAAAGGTTGCTTCCCTTCAGAAGTCAGAATACCATAGTCTTGAGTATTGCTGTACTCAAATCATTTCATTATGTTCATAAGAACAGAAACAATGCCAGCCTACATTCTCAAAATGATGCTATTTAAGGAAACCTACTTTTGCTATGTCATCTTGTTTAAAGTTACATGTCCAAGAACCTACTGACAATGTTAACTTAGAATTTACTGCACTAATCCTAAATGTCAATCTTAAAACATGTTAGAAAGTTAACAGAAATAATTTCAAATGCTTATTTAAATCTTCAAAATCTCAAGAGATTTGCTTGTAGCTGAAACAAATATGAAGTAAAACAAAAATAAGCATAAATAAAAGACAGAAGCAGATATTGAAGATGTATGTGTTAAACTTTAACTAAGCCCAGCATTCCTTGCTAGACATCATCTAACTACTTTTCATGTGAATAAATAATTATGGAAATTAGTATGTAATCTACCAATATTTGACTTATAAAAAATATTTTTGGATGGCCCTCCCTGGTGGCACAGCGGGTAAAAACACTGCACTGAGAAGCTAGAGCCACTTCCGCATGAGTTCGATTCACGCCTGCCCCGGAAGTGATGACCACATGGTGCGGCAGACCTCTCCTGACCTGCCTGCTGCTCCCCTCAGCAGTGTACTTCGTCAATCTGCCTGTTCTGCTCCCCACTTTGTCCCTCCGCATCTCTGGCCTATACCCCAGTTCTGTATGCACAAATAAATAAATCTTTAAAAAGAAATATTTTTGGAAGAATCAACTTTTTTAGTTGTATTTTGTAGGAACTGCTTTTAACACACCGTTATAAATGTGCACTGGTCAAGCAGGAACACACTGGGCAGAAAGGAACAAATTATTTAATGGTTAAAAAATTGGCTGCACATAACCAATGAAAATGGTAATTTTTAAACTGCTAACAAGAAGTATTCCAAACAATTTTAAATGTGTCTCCCATATACTGACTTTTGACTTTCTATTTTTAATATCTTCCACTGAATTAACAATGTCCACAAATTGAGTTAAGTATTGTTTGTCTGAACCAGTCATTTTACAAGAGGACTAGCTAGGCATTCAAAAGCAAATACATGAAAATATTATTGGTAGATTACAAAAACTAATTTGTGCACCTTATTATATGTAAAGCAAAAATTACATGATACAAAGATTAAAATATTCAAATTTTAAAAAGCTAAATTAAAAGGAAGAAGCCTTGTTTTGTTAATCTTCCATGTGGGGCATCAAAAAATTTAAATCTGTTGATAAATTTAAAAAAGATAAAAATCCCAATCAATAGAACTGACAGAACAAATTTAAGTTTTAAGACAATGTTGTTTTATCTGCAGGTATCCTAATCCTAAAGACCTTCTATAGATCAGTCAAATGAGCTTCTAGGTTTCTGGTAATGTAGTAAAGAACAAAGGACAAAGAATTAGAACTGTAAAAAAAAATTATGGAAAAATTTAAACATAAAATTAAGGATTACTGAATTTTTGAATCTCCAGTTTCAACAACTATAAAACTTATGGCCAGTTTGTTTCATGTATATTCCTATTTCCCCCAAACCAAACTGGATTATTTTAAAGTAAGACCTAGAAATAGAATTATTTTATCAGCAAATATTTTTGTACCTATCTCTAAACAGTTTTTCTACACCTCTTTTTTCATAATTGCCTCCAACCCCCAAAGAACCTAATACATTTTTCCCACTCATGAAACTTTAATTCCACAGATATACCATCTGTTTATATGCTCTATATATATACCTGTGACTTCTACACCAAAAAATGCTCCCCACAACCAGTATTTATTTCACTTAGAGACATGCAGCCTTCACTAGGGATGCACTCTAAAAAACTTAAGGACCCTTCGAATAATAAGCAAACACCACCTTATTCCTAAAAATACTTGAGAGTAAGCTTTTAATATCAAATATCAAAACTAATTTTTAATCTTCTACATATGGTTATAATAAAGGTGCTGCTAATAATTCAACATGTACAGGAACAAAAACAACTATCTCCATGCACCTGACACATTCACAACCAATCTGAGCCCTCAATGCATATACATTATAATAGATTGCCAATTATTGGCGGTTTTGTTCATCAAAGTCCTGCTCCCAAATCATCTACAATAAGTCAGTAGAACACTCCCTAAAATGCCCAGAACCAGAACTTACCAGAACATCAGAAATACAGCTGTAGAAGCAGCATTTAAACCAAGTTTTTAGTCACTTTTCAAAATAATGAAGCTTGAAAAATACTATACAGCTGGAAGTTGAGAATATTGCTGTTCTTCATTCCAAATCCCAGAAATAGTTTTACTCACAAGAATGAATGGAAGCAAATGACCATAGTCTTTTCCTTTTCATTCTTTCTACTCAGAGCCTCTTCTGATACACAGCAGACCCCTATTTAATGATACTATTGATAATATGCTCTACAACAGAGGTGACTGTATAGCGACTATATCTTTTTTTTTTTCCCCCCTTGGGCACAAACCATTTTACTAAGTAAGTTCACTTATAAATATCAGACTAAAAATAAAAACAACCCCAGTGCCTTAAAATATAAGTCATGAATTCTCTTTTAGACCTGTTACCCATGTTAGCCTGCTAGGGTTAAGGAAATGTGTTTGGAAAGTGCTATATTTCTCCCTTAAAGGAGATGAGAATTATGACAACATTTGGGAACTCTCAGATTTTAAATAAATTGACTGAAGCAGAGTTACAAAATTTTGAGCAATGTTTTACTTTTTTAGATTTAGTTATTTATGCATACAGAACTGGGGTACAGGCTAGAGATGCAAGGGTGGTGATTTACCAGAGACAGAGTGGGGAGCAGAACAGGCCAATTGAAGAAGTATACTGCTGAGGGGAGCAGTGGGTGGGTGAGAAGAGGTCTGCCATGCCATGTGGGTAATCTCTGGGGTGGGGATCAAACTCATACTGAAGTGGCTTTAGCTTCTTAGTGCTGTATTTTAACCCAGTTGCCACCTGGGAGGGCCGCAATGTTTTATTTTTATCTTAATTTCTTAGTAGTAAAAAATACCATATATGTGATGGCTTATATTTTAAAATGGGAAACCAGGGAAATGCACTGGAAGACATGTGTACAGTGACTATATCTTAATACGAATCCAGTAATACACTGATATTAGATAATTCATTTCAAGACAGCATAACTGGAATATTTTGGCACATAAGAGTTGATATAAAACTGAGTTATACAACTAAAATATCTAGGGAATTTTATCTCTACTAATATTGAAAACATTCAATTAGTAATAAGTAACTTAAAATGGAAAAGATATAATAAACACATGTTAGGACGCATGGATATAATATAGCCAGTATTTATATATATGTGTGTGTGTGTGTGTGTATAATGTAATAGTTCATTTTTACATCATTTTGTACATTTTTTTCATCTCAATTGTAATCCCTGTGGGCTTCCCATCACCAAATCACCCATGATAGCACAGTATTTTTATACAACAAGAACAATCACCTGTATAAAACAGATGAAGACTAAAAAACAAAACATTCCTATATTTTCTTTACAAAAAAGCTGGCCCATCAGAAAAAAATTTGCAATATAAAAGAAAACAACAAACAACTATAAACCAGAGACATTCTAGGGGGTGGAGAGGAGAATAGGATCAAAACTGGGGCAGGAAGAGTACACAGGACTATGGTGATGGCACATGGGTGAATTGGTGGTGGGAATTACAACAGGGATTACAACTGAGATGAAAAAATGCACAAATGAATAAATGATTTAAAACAAATAAATTAATTAAAAAAAAAAAAAAAGCTGGATCCATGTGAAAAATGACGGCCATGCCAATAAATGTGTCATGATTAACTCAAATGTTAATAGTTATTCAAATGGCCTACCTAACTGGTTCTAGTTGAATGCAATCATAATGTGAATATTAAACTGTAAAGTGACTTATGTTTTTAAATGAAGGACTCATCATAAAGAGATTTGATTCGTTTAACTCAAACTAAATTATTCTTCATCTTAATGAGGTTCACTACTCTGCAGAATTTTGCTTTCACAGTCTGCGCTTAACTTACCTTTGCCTGAGTGAGAGCTGCTTTCTTCACCTGGAGCTGAGATTGCAATAGTTTGAAATTTTTGGACCAGCCCTCTGTTTTTGAGTCACTGGTCTCCACTCCCAGGTCATCATACAGGGACATCTTCTTTTCAGTTTAGTGCTGAAAGGCAAAGGGGGTAGGATTTAAAGAATGCAAAGCACAGATTTTAATCCTTTCCTGTTAAAATACTCAAAATCGTGTTAAGGATATTTGAAGAGCTCATGTCATTCTGAAACCTTCAGCAACAGACACCAAGACGCCTGATGTCACCAATCAGCGTTCCGTCTGGTGCATGAAATTAAATCCATATATTTATTTTAAAAATAAACCTCTAGAATTATTTTGTGAGTGACACTGTTCTGTTCTACAGCATATATCACATAAGATAGAAGTTCTAGATCCAAGAATTATTAATTACTTATATCCAAAAAAAATACAATTTGTCTGAATAGCAAAAAGGAGAAGTTTTACAAAAGCATCAATTATCAGGTCAATTTAGTACAATAAGCAACCCTCTTAAAAAGTTTAAATATCTCCCAGTGTGTGTGTGTGTGGGGGGGGGAGGAATGATGTCACAAGATGTTGTATTTTCTTCAATTATGATTGTTGAAGGGAAGAACAGAAGGTTTAGATTTTAAATACTGTGGGTTCCTCTTATTCCACTACACAGAAGTTTGTAATGTTTAATGACACTGATGACAAAGAGATCATCAACAATATACACGTAAATATTCAATACATAATACCTCTATGGAATACAAGCCAACAAGAAAAACAATACTTGCTAAAACTTAGTCTCATCAGGCCAGGCTGAGTGTTAAATGCAGTAATCTGCCATAGCTACCATTAAAGCTTAGCACTGTTCACAGACGGAGTACTGGACTTCATGTGTTGCATCTGCCCACTGTCTCAGTAGGAAGGCCCTTTCAAACCCTGTTAGTGTAGCTCCACGCCCACTCACAAATCTTTCCTGCTACCTTTAAAGAAATCAAAAATGTTTTGAGACCCACAATATGTCCCACTTCTCAAAAAAAAAAAAAAATTCTTGTTTTCAGACCCGAAGAGAAAAAAAAAAGTTTGACTGATGTCCCTAAATTGCAAATAAATACCTTTCTCAGTTAGCTTCCAAATTATAGGGGCATTCCAAGTTGTTCCCAGGCCCAGACAGCATTTTACCACAGAAAAGTATCATACAAAATATTGTCTAGCCTGAGATGTGTTTCAGGTAGAGAAGGTGACACAGACGAGGGAAATATTTAATCCTTCCATTTCCCTCTGACTCAGAGATGCTTATTTCTCCACCCTTCTCTGACCAGTATTCTAAGATTTGTCTAATACAACATCTTGGTTGAACTTGGGTGAGGTGACAGGGGTGGATACCAACGTTCTTTCCAGAGAGTAGCTGTCCGGATTTTGAACAGAGCACTTCTCTAGAAGCCTACAACCCACTGAACTTAAGCTGTTTTTCACAGTTTCTTCCATTCCTTAATATTTGAATCCTTAACATTTAACCTAAAATTTTTCAAAAAGCTGCTGTTTCTGAATGAAAGGGCCCCAAGGAGCACAGAAGCAGGGTGAGAAAAGCAGAGCAGGAGTAGTACTGGTGGTTGAGTGCTCTAACAACTGCCTAAACACCGAAGAATGACTGTATCAGTTGCCCTCTTGGTGAGGGCTTCTGTGAAAATTCACCTTCTCAGTTGACGGCTGTGTGGACACTTTTCTAGAGAGCACTGTACATCCAAAAGGGAAACAGCCATTCTCTTCAGTGCCACTAAAGTGAATGCTTTATTCAGAAACTTGGCACTGCCCTATCACAAGCAGCTTTCGTCACTGAGGGTTAATCAAGAAAAAGTAATGAACTCCATTTTTTAACTAAGTATGGTTGAAATACTTACAAAAACCTAGATCTAGTTTGTTGAGTTCACTGTACTATTCCCAGACAAGGTGTGTGACCCAGAGCTGAATGGGAAAGTCAGGCCTACGACACAGTCAATATTCTATTTATAAACTCTTCCCAACTCACCTTTACAGAAATTTCTGGCTTAAAAAAGACTGGCCAGAAGGAAGAGCACTTCCAGAACAGTTTCAGGGGTACAATTCTCCCAGTCTACTCAATATTCATAATTTGTAAGTATGTGTAAATCACTAAGTTTTAAATTTAATCTGAAAACAAAAACAAAAACAAAAACAAAAACAAAAACAAAAACAAAAACCAGCAACAGCAAAGAAGTGATGCTATCTGCCCAAATCAGTACTGTGGTTCTCAAAATAATTACATCACAAATGACTAAGCCATTCATCTAATCTAATGTAATCTTCAATTCATCACCAAATCAAAGCCCAGTAAACTATGGATTCATTTGATTTGTCTTTCTTCTGTAAAGTTAAGGGAAGACTAACATGGCTGTGGAAAACACACATAGAAGGAAAACTTTGTGGGAAATTACACACATAAATTAGAAAATTTGTTTGTAACTCAAACCAAACTCCATTATTACCTCTCCAAATATTTCTTCATAAAAAAACTTGAGAAAATGATCAAAGAAATTATTTACAAATATATCAGTCAACAGGATACCCAAATGCCCACTAACTTATGAAGGAGAACATAAGAAAGTTTATTCATTTGTCCATTTCCATTTTCTAAAATAGAACAGGCATTTAAAAAACATTTGCTGAAAGATTTATAGTAAAGTCTATGCATTCATTCACTGCACAGGAATGAGCAGTGAAACTAAGCAGTATTCAAGTCTGTACAATGCTAAAAAGCAGGTAAAACATTGAGGATAGGTGGTGGTGATGGGCGCACAATGTAAATGTGCTATACATTTTTAAAAGGTTAAAATGGCAAGAGGTGCATGGGCGTTAAGAGGATTCACCAGAGACAGAGTGGGCAGCAGAGCAAGCAGATTGATGAAGTACACTGCTGAGGGGAGCAGTGGGCAGCTCAGGGTAGGTCTGCCCACCATGTGGGTCACCTCCGGGGCTGGGGATTTAACTTGCACTGAAATGGCTGCGCTAGCTTGCAGTGCTGCGTCCTAACCAGTTGCACCACCAGGGAAGACCCTCTTCCACATATTTTACCACAATCAAAAAGCTAAGTGAAAAGGAGGGGAGAAAGCAACATGGAGTAAGTAAGGGAATGAGCTAACAGACTACTGTTAGTTAATACGACTACACCTCCATACCTTGAAGAGTAAACTAATAGAAATATTTTTCCAAACCATACTTTGAGTGCACTAAGAGTCCTACCACTTGAGAATCCAATACTTAACAAAGATTTCATCGTTTTATTAATAAGGTGCTAGTAAATCATACTTCCTCAGATTCGATTTCACTTCTAAACTGACAATGATTTGTTCACCATTACATTTGATTTACTTTGCTCTACAAGCTCCAGAAAGCATTAATGGGCAAAAAATCTTATGTTCATTTAAAGCTCCTAGGTTTGTTCTTAAACCCTCAAAAAATGCACTTAAAATATTAAGACACTGCTATCATCTTACCAGTACATCTGCTATTTTTGACAACACAAGTTTAAAAATCCATTTTGAACATCACAATGTTAAAGAGCTTTTGTTTTTCTCATTTTTAACTGAACCTTAAATTCACAAAATTGGATTAATTACAGCAGCAGTAAATTCCTCATCTATGCAATAAGTATGGTGTGCTTTTAAATAAATATCCTAACATTACAAGTACCAGTGAATTCATCACCCAAAACAAGAGACAGGACCTGGAACCATGCTCTCCCAATGTCACAGGGGAGCAGCAACCCCATTCTTATTCTGCTTTACTCTCTTGGTATAATTTTATTTACAAAGCATTATCACATCTGTTCCTTAAAAGGTTTGCATGTTTTCATTTTAGGGATTTTAAGCATTTATGAACATACCACGATGTATTTACTCATTATCCCGTGAAACCACTGAAATGCAGCAAGTGCATTGCTAAGACTGCCAGGGTGCACCTTAACCCAGTTAATGCTAGATGTTATTTAGATGATCTAACACATTTATTTCACTAGGTCCAGTGCCAGGAAGTAAAAATGAACACTTTCTAACATTTAGAGAAGTCATAAAAAGCCAGATCAAAACAAAAACAAACTGATTTTTGCAACTTCTTTAAAATAGCTGATAGCTGTTTACTTCTTAAAAAGAAGTTCATCTTTCATATTCATCCAACTTTTTCTTAAGGAGAAACACAATAGCTTGTGGTTCTACCAAAAGGAAGGTTGCTTTTCAAGATTCCACATAAGCTGCTGGGAAAGTAGTTTTCTAAAGCATGTGCAACTGGCAGAAAAAGAACATGGAAGAAATCTCCCAGAAGCATGCCACCTACTCATCTTTCAAGTGCATCTTTTAAGATTTTGGTAACTACTACTCCCACATATAACTAGTTAGCCTCAATTTGCTTTCCTGAAATACTTGGATCTGAGCAACTTTTACATTTATGTTGCATACTAAATTGGCACATGTCTCTTACCTACCCTAAGCCCCTTACAGACAAGAGTTGTTCTGTTGTCTTCATCTTAGTATCTCTAGCTGAGCACCAGGCTTAGAACAAGTGTTTTGTATTTTCTAAGTGTATTGGTGAATGGATGGAAAATATTAATGCACTTACTTAAACTACATTATTATGAAACACTAAGATTTGCAGATCTGTTTTTAAGGACATTATTTATTGTAAGTACAATTCTATGTGTAGGTTTGGTCAAGTTTTAATCCTAACTAATTTGAGAATAACATGGCCAACGCGTAACTGAGTCAACCAAAATACTGAGTGGATGTCTGAGTTTCCAGCTACTGTGATATCAAGTAACAGAAGGCTCGCTAAGAAAAGACTTTTAAGAAATCACTAAATAGATTTCATGTATCTTAAAGTACAAATGAAGCCTAAAAACACACCACGTGTAAACAAACAGGAACAAGGGAATTACAGAAGTGTGCATTTTGAAAGTCACAACAAAATATAAATAAAGTCATCAGCCTCATCATATTTATGGCATTTAAAAGAATTAATTAAAAATTTTCTCTAGCCCTCCACCCTGTGAAAGTTTAGTATTTCCTCCGCTATTACCAAAATACCACAGGTTAGACAGTGCACTGTAAACCGAGTCCCCAGAGTCTCTGGTAATTTAGGTGGGAAAGGTAAACAGTCGTCACTACTGACTACTATGAAAGCCGTGAAAGGTGACTCGCTGAAGGTTATTTAAAACAAGCCAGGTAAAAAGAAATCCATTTTAAATAAAACTACATTTGAAAATGCATAACCACTCTGTCCCATGATTTTCAACCTGAATCTTGCCCTTAACTAGAAAATTCCACTTTCAACCCATACTCCTGGCTCTAACACTAAATACAGTCAAGGGGTCTCCTTCCCTGACCTTACAGAGAACACACTGTCCTCTGTCCTCAAACGTTCTCTGCTTTACCTAGTTTCCAGAATGTACGACAATGCTTCACCTCTGCTACTTCTGTCCACTCAGTTACTCTGCAGGGAACCTTTCTCCCACTTGGCTCATCGAGTCCTCTGAGACTCACTTAGAAGCATCACCCCCTCCAGCAAGTCTTTCTAGCCACCCCACTCACTCCCCACCCTCTTGAGTCAACTCAGATTCGGGTTTTTATGCTTGTTTCCCGAGAGACGAAACCCCGAGAGTAGGAACAGAATCGTATTTATGTTGCATCCACTGTTCATCACATACGGACTGGACAACAGACAAAAGAAGGGCTTGGTGTTTGGACATCAGAGGCAAAAGCGCTTTACAAAGACAAGACCCAAAGTCAGGTCTTCCTTCACCGAGGTGGGTAATTCCCAATTTTTGACAAATGTCAACGTCTGCAGCCCCAGCTCCGCGGCTTCTTCCCTCTACTCTCAGGCACCAAGGGGCGCGAGTAGGCTGGGCCACAGGTGACCCAGGCCTGGAGCTGGGACTCTCGAGACCGAGCAACTTTTTCAAACCAAGGCCATCCGAAGGAAGGGAAAAACATTCTCGAGAGCAGGAGACGGAACACACGGGCAACGAGAAAACGGGAAGAGAGGATAACTCCGAGGATCTCATGATCCAAAGCAAAGAAAGGAAACTCGAAGGTTCCGGCGAGGGGCCCAGTGGGGGGCCGCCGGGAGGTGAGGGCACCAGCGACTCGGGGGGTCGGTCCCGGACCTCCTGCCCCTCGCGACGCGGCCTAAAGTCGCGGCCTCGCGTGTAGCGCCGCCCCGGGGGGGCTTCGCCCCTTTTCCCCCGCCAAGCCGACCGCTCCCGCCGCCACTTACCCGGCCCGCCCGACCGACTCTCCCCATGGGCCGCGGCGGCCGCCGAGGCGCCGCGGAGACTGCGGGCTGGGCGCGCTCGGCTTAGCCGCGAGGGCCAGACCCGCAGCCGGCGCCAACCCTTACGCTGAGGCCTCAGGGCGCGCGCCGGCGCAGAGTCAGACGCGCGTGCGGCCCAGAGAGGGGGCAGCTTGAGCCCGTTCTGTAGACTTCTGGACACAGCGCCCTCTGCTGCTAGGAGGACCGCCCTGCACCGCCCCTAAGCGGCCGTCTTCCTCTTCCACCAAAAGGTGTCGCAGCGGCTCAAGTTCGTGAAATTTCTGCATGTTTGGAGAACTTGGTGAAAAGGAGAACCGTGGAAAAATACGTTTTGGGGACCCAACTTCTTCATGGTAGAAATGATAGGGAGAATTCCTCCTAATCTTTCGTTCTCATTCATTCAGTACCATTCATCTATGTGCAAAGAACTGAAAATAAGTCGCCATGGGCAGGATGAATAGGGACGCTCTGCTGAAGAAATACCACAAATACAACTACGGAAACAACAGATACAGATTAGGGCTACAGAAAACGAAAATGTTATGAAGTGTGACAGTTTAAAATGACGGAAAGAGAAGTTTGGAGGAAAGATAAGTGGACTTTATGTGAATATGATTTTTCTTTAAAAAAAAAAACACAACGATTTATTTATGTATAGGGAGCTGGGGTACAAGGCCAGAGGTGCAGGGGTGGTGAAAGGATTCACCAGGGACAGAGCGGGGAGCAGAACAGGCAGTTCGATGAAGTACACTGCTGAGGGGAGCAGCCGGCGGGTCAAGAGAGGTCTGCCGCGCCATGGGGGTCACCTTCAGGACCGGGATCAACCTCACACTGAAGTGGCTGCGCTAGCGTGATTTTTCATCTGTATACTTGGGCATAAACTATTTTAAATTAATAAACAGAATGTAAATGTATATCTTAGAACAGAAGAACATACTAATCACTAACCTCTGGTGATTAATAAAAGTAGGAAAGAGGAAAAAGGAGACATGGTAGGGAGTTTAGAAGCCATCTAAAAACATTGATGATTAATGATATTGTATAATATTATCATCAGTACTGTCACTCAATTAGAAACACATACTTTTCATATCACCAACACACAAACACAACTGCAAAAAAACTAACAAAAATACATAGCAAATTATTTGAAAAGTTACAAAACAAAAAGCATATCAAAATGTGACACAGCAATGATCAAATGTCTCACATGAATAAATATAAAGGAGTTCCACTGACCTATATTTAAAACACTAAAAACAACAGGTCCAAACAGTGTTCTCCTTACCAGACCCCTACCAAAACTTAGTACCTAATTTCACTGCAGTTTCAACCTTTGCCAACAATACATCCTAAATCAATCAATCTGGAGTTCCCCAGATTGTTACATCAGTTACATCAGAAATGCAATCTACATTATAAACTCCACTGCTTTCCCCCAAAGGATGGTTGCTTTACTTGAAATAATCTCTTCTTTTGCTAAATAAATCCTCTCTCTGTCTATACATTCCATTTTGTATAATCCCTTGCATTAACTAGAAAGAATGTTGATCAATTCAT